AATAAGGTTTTGAGCGCACCATCAAACTTCTCAATTTTCACATTTTCTTCGTCTGCAGCCATCACTCCCACTCGAATCTGGCTTTGTTTGGATCGTTTCTGACGATTTCTACGAACCACTGTGTATTAGAACACCTCTGTCGACAAACTCGTATCACTGACCAAATTTCACTATTCACCAAATTCACTATTCACGTGAATAGTAACCTCGCAGAAAAATTGACAAAATTCACAACCAAAAGCTCATGATACTAATTGTTGTGAAATAAAACAAGTAATTTCCCTATAACCATATTAGTGAGCATGCAAAATAAAAGCGGAAAAATAATACCCGAAATTGATAACAGAGTTCAGCCAATTATGCCTACATCTCCGGACTGTTGCAGATCTTTTACTAAAGAGAGAAAATTTACAGGTGTTTACAAAACACTCTCAACTCACAAGAAAACTCTATAAACTCTTTAGTATTGGGAGAAAGAAATGATTTGGGATGATTTTGAAGCTAAATGGGTAAGAGTATTTATAGTTGAAGCTTAAGGACTATTCTTTGAAAATACCCTAAAGTGCATGGACTAAAATACAATTCTCCCATGCACAAAATTCAACCAAAATGACTGCCTAATTTTGAACATTTGCAGCCGCCCATTTAGCAGCCCATGTGCTGCCTAATTTTCTTTGACTTTCAACAGTTCATGCCATTCTGAAGCAAGCAGAGAATTGGCTTGATAAGAAGATCTTGGAGAAACAAATCAACCAAACTCATTTGTGTACCTTCGTTCTTCGGTTGTGGTTCTATTTTTGATATAGTTCTTCAACAGGGGCATCGTTTTGTTGTGGTTTTATCTGGAACAAACTTCAAATTGGTTTTATTTCGGTTGGGACTCTTGATGTTGTAATTCAATTATGCACTTTATAATTCTGAATGTCAAAAATGAAAGAATTTGAGTTTGAACATTACTCTCGTATACTATTTTGATTTGTAAATGATTTAAAGAATACATGACTTTTCTAGTTAATCAAGATCTAATATCCAAAATTTGAACCTTTTATACACCTTTCTGATTACCTGAAGAAGAAGAAGACACGTGGAATAAATTTTTTAATTACCACGTAACGCTTCAGTTGGAGGGTTAAAGAGAGTTAACGAAGGAGGGATTAAAACCAAATGGACTGATAACGTAAGAGACTAAAACCACTCATTTTTTAAACTGATGACCAAAACTAGTCAGATCGAAAACAAAAGGGATCATTCATATAATTTACCCTAAAATATTAATTTAATCTTATCCATTGAACTTTCAAAAGTTATTTTTTTCACTTCCTTCAAACAAAAAAAACCCAAAATCTTTTTTTTAATCTCTGAAAATGTTTCTTTTCTAACCCTAAATCATTAACCCTTTACACTCTCGTTATCGTTCGTCTAAACCCCAAACTCTAACGGCCACTCAATTCCCTATATTTCGTCACATCATCTAAACTCCATAATTTAGTGATTATTTGAGTAGTTCACCCTTATATTTTCTACAAAACAATCATATAAAAGATTGAAAATAGGGGAAAGGATGATTGGGACTGAAGTTTGGGAATAGAGGAAGAGTTTACATAAAATTACATGAATCCACTGAAAGTAGTAAGCTTTTGTTTGCAATGAAGGTAACATGGCTGCAATTTGGGAACACTGGAAGAGTAGTTAGGCATATCATACAAGTGTAATGACATTTACATGTTAGAATGTGTAGTTGATTTATTGTACCTAATTGCATTAAAAAATAAATTAGGTACTTGGTTGCACGCCAATACTAAAATTAGATACCACGCTTATATTAACCCGTATAAATAAAAACCCTGAATATGGGGTGATCCATAAGGTCAAGAAAATAATAAACGACGACCAAGAAAATGATCCATGAAAAAAAAGTTATAATTCTCACCTAATTAAAACAGGACAAACATTTGGACCTATACTTAATTACTATAATTAAATGCCGTGACGACAGGGATTCAACTGAATATATACTAAAAAAATTTAAAGAAAATGACTTGATTATTTGTTATTATTGAAGTTATAGAAAATATAAGCATCCAACTGCCCTGCAATATTAAACAATGACTACACACGTTAGGACTTACGACCAAGAAAGCATCCAATTGCCGTCATATATTAAACAATGACCATACACGGTTCGCGTTGGGGGCACTAATAAAACAAAGGGTTATGTTCCTAAACTCTATCATTTTCTATTAAAAATTTGACGGTATTCCGAGATTAATATTAACCTACTGGTTGTGATACAATAAAATATAATATCAGAATCTCAAACGACTATCATATCTCAGTCATCATGTTAACATTCAACTTAAACAACCGTCAATTTTTTAACGAAAAATGACGAGTTTTGAATATAATGCACAATCAGAAAACCATTCCATAACTTTTAATAATTTAGGGATTTAATAAAGAAGTATTCTATAATTGAGGGACCATTTGTGTAATTTACCCAAAATTACATAATAAAATAAAAAATGTTCCAAATTCCATACCATTACAAATCATAGGTGGTTGAGTCAATATTTTAGAAGCTAATAATACTGCTTACCTGCTCCGTCTCTTGACTCAAGTTTGTAATTATAAAGGTTGAGTTTCAGCATTTATTCTGCTCCCATATTCGACTTGTCTCATCTCTTTGTTTAGTTTCCAATCACAACTTCTGTTTCTCTTTCATTTGGTTTCAGCTTCCGATTGTTCAAAGTGGAGAAATCTTGAAGAAATATTGTTCAAAGGAGTTGAATTCGTGGTGCAGTAAACCCACACAGCATAAAGCTTTAGAAGGTTCAGTGTGAGGTAATTGTGGTTTCAACTTTATTTGTTAAGTTTGCTTAATTATTGAGTTAGTTATATAACTTATATTGCCCTTCCTGTAGATGAAGTTGATTATAATATTATTCCATGAATTATTTCTCTCCTACTTCCAATGGGTTCCTAAATGGTTGTCCATTGTTCCCATATGTAATGGGGTAAGGGGAGGTAAGATAGTAGGATGTCCCCAACATTAGATTGAGAGCAGCTTCCGTAGAAGACCTCTAAATTATGAAAATGCCCTCCATGGGACACGATCCCACGACCTCAAGGTTAAGAACCTTGTGCTCTACCAACTGAGCTGGATGGTCATCTCTTCCAATGGATTCCTAAATTTGTGAAAATATCCAAAAACAGGTTTAAAAACTTCAGACTACTTAATTTGTTGCGGGTAAACTATAAGTTTGATCACTTTCGTTTAAATTTTATACATTTTTTCTCGTTGAATTCAAAAAAATATATAATATTTGATTACATTCATTTTTAATTTTTTAAGATGTGATCATATTCTTTTTTATTTAATTAAGATGTGATCACTTGCCTTATCAATTTTTAAATGTTTATTCACTGGAATTTTGATTGTCCTTAGTGAGGAAAAGTGGGAAAATTAAATAAAAGTAATCACACCTTAATTAAATAAAAAACGAAGATGGTCAAATATTATATTTTTTTAATATAATGAAATTAAAAAAAAAGGTTTAAAACCAAAATGAAAGTGATTCTTTATTGTATGTGTATAAAGTCCTAAATACCCAAAGGAACTCCACTGAGGGATGTCTTGAAGTTGGTCATAATTCTCATCAATTAATAATGGTTACTCTTTCTGTGACATAAAATATGTTTATTATTAAATTTTTTGTTGATATTTTTAAACTTTGACTAATTATTATTTAAAATTTATTATTGATAAAAATATATTTTAAAAACCTTTAATTAAGTAGTTTTTAAATATATATTTTTATTAAATTTAATTATTTAAAATATTTAAAATAATTATAATTAAAGTTTACAATTTTTTACTTTTTAAAAATTAACAAGAGATATTTTTTTATGAGACGGAGATAATTATAATTAAGTGTTTGTTGATAGTGATTACAATAAGTTCTAAGTTTTTAGAATCTATTTTGATAAAAATGATTTTATTTAATAAGTTTTTATAATATCGTTTGATAAAGTTTTTATCCTTTTCCTAAACATTACTAAAGTAATTAATTTGTCAAGTGACAAGTAATTGAGATTCAGGAATTTGAGTTCATAAGGTTAAGTTCGAATCCTACAAACGTCACTCTTGGTGGACAATATGTAAATTCTTATATAAATTTCAATTGAATCTTAAATACATCATGTCTCTAGACTAGTGACTCATGACCTTTTACTGATGTACCAAAAAAAATAATCATGATTTGATTTTCGATTTATTCAATTTATTAAATCGGGGGAACTACTTTTGTGGACCTCGACACAATTTTATAAACAGTGTGGATCATATCACAATCTTTAAAAATTAAATGAAAAGTATAAATTTGATAATTAAACTTTATTTTTTTATTTTATTTTATTCATTTCATTTTATATCTTTTCAATTTTCTTACTGAACTTAATACATCCATTTCCTTACTAATGTTATTAAGTGGCTTTCTTTATTTTATTTTTAATGGATAAATTACAAGTTTAATCACTGAACTTTATGCATTGGATTTTTTTGGTAACTCCTCTGTTAACAACAAATCATGACGCTGTTAGTGAGGAAACGATTGAGTGACTAAAAAAACACAATGTATTAAATTTAGTGAGAAAATTAAAAAGATTTAAAGTACAATAAATGAAATAAGAGAGAAAATAAAGTTCAGTTACTAAATTTGTAATTTAGCCAAAACTAAAAGTGAACACAAACATCTCAAAAGAAGAAAAAAACATGCAATTATTGAAGGTTTCATCCATCTTCAACAAACTTAAAAACAGAAACTCAATCCTTAGAATTAGAGTTATTAATTTAAGCATTTTTTGAAAATATATTTTTGGTTGGTTGAAAATGGAAATGAATAAAATGAAGCTAAAAATGATTAATAATGAGGTTTGCTCTAAAGGGGTGACCAAATTTATATTGTCTACCATTTTTCTTAACCTTTGCATAATTATTATGTAAATTCAGATTAACCACAATGGCTGAAGGGTTCTGTCTGGCTGCTGCTTCTAATGCCGTGGGAACACTGATGGTGGACTATCTGGTGAAGCCAATAGAACGCCGTATTCGCTACTTATTTCGTTTTCCTAAGCTTGTTCGAGACTTCCGCCAACAACAAAATAATTTGAATCGAGAACAGACTCGAATTAATGAAGATGTTAAGGAGGCTAAACTACATATTCAAACTCAAGTAATTGGGGACCATGTAAATGAATGGTTGACCGATGCAGAAAATGCTGTGAAGGAAGCGCAGAGTATGGAGAGTAAGATTGAAGAAAATAAGAGATGCTTTTGTTGGTGTCCGAATTGGAGTTGGCGATATCGATTAGGTAAGGAGATTGAGAAGAAGACAGAGGTTATCAGTAAGCTTGTAGAAGGTTCCCACTTCGAACGAATAGGCTATCGTGCCGTGCTTCCAGGCTTGGAATTCTTCACATCTAAAGATCTTGTGGCTTCCAAAACTTCAACTGCTGCTTTCAATAAAGTGATGGAAGCATTGAAGGATGACGAAGTCGACGTGATCGGGGTGTGGGGAATGGGTGGGGTGGGCAAAACCACCTTAGTCACCGAAGTGGGCAAAAGAGCCAAAGAATTACAACTTTTCCAAGTTATAAAAGTTGTCGTGTCTCAAACGCCGAGCATTGGAGATATTCAGAAAAAATTGGCAGACTTCTTGAATATAAAGTTTGAGAAGACAACCAAGGAAGGGAAAGCAGAGGAATTATGGCTTCGATTGGCAAAAGAAGAAAAAGTCCTCAACATCCTTGACGATATGTGGAATGAGGTCGACTTGAAAGAGATAGGCCTTCCTATAAAAGAAAAAGGGAAAGGTTGTAGGGTCATTTTGACAACACGTCGCAAGACTGTATGCGAAGCTATGGAATGTCAAATTACTGTTCCAATTGATGTTTTGGATGGTGATGAAGCATGGGCTCTATTTAGAATGAAAGCTGAGCTTGATGAAAGAGTTCCAAGGGATATTATTGAGGAGGCTAAGAAAGTTGCAGAGGAATGCAAGGGTCTACCGGTAGCGATTGTAACGCTAGCGAGGGCATTAAAAGGTACCAAGACTCGTGACGGATGGGAAATGGCCCGAAAAAAACTTGCAAGCAGTAGATTATTAGAAATCGGCAACATTGAAGAAGAAGAAAAAAATGCGTACCAATGCATTAAGATGAGTTACGATTACCTCAAGAAAGAGACTGTCAAGAGATGCTTCTTATTGTGCGCTGTATATCCAGAAGATCACTCGATTCATACGGAAGGATTGGTGCGATACGCTTGGGGATTGGAGTTCTATGACAATATTTACTCGGTTGAAGAAGTGAGGATTCAAGTCTTGGAAGCCATTGATTACCTCAAAGATTCTTGCTTCTTGTTACAAGATGAAGATGGAGCTGGCCATAGAGATATCACAAGGTATGAAACTTGAACTATAGCGCAATGCTTCCCATATGATAATTAGAAAATGCCTACAGGTGCTAGATAGAGCTTTTTATATAGCTAAGTTAACAAGCCCTGCCTGTTAGAAGGTCTAAAGTGGAAGCAAGGTATTGTTTGTCAGCCAGTAAAGTGAAAGTAAATAAATAACGAGGTCAGAGCTAGACCAATATTAAATAAAAAGTTTGAGAAGACTGGGGTCATCTATTAAGATCATTGAAATTTTTATTAATAAATAAATACAACATAAACCCACAGGTCTAATTAACTCTAAATCTTATTCATAAAACTTATAATAAGAAAATAACCTCCCATACTTTCATTTTGAATGTTTATAAGTTGAGTTCAATTAGAGTTTTGTGACATAAATTTTGTTTTGATTCAGTTGGAGAAGTTAGTGGTTCCAGCGACCTAATGTAAAAAAATAAATTAAGATTAAATTTCTTTATTACTAAATAATTAATATAGATTAGAATTATTGTTTGATGTAGGGGGGATGATGATGTTTTAGGGTAAAGTAAACAAATAGTCCCTCGACTATAGGCTAATGCTTTTTTAAGTCCCTCGACTATTAAAAGTTACAAAATGATCATCGACTATAGAATATTGCTCTGTTAAGTCCTTTGACTATTAAAAGTTACAAAATGGTCACCCGACTATTCATTATGTTCCAAACTAGTTATTTTCCGTTAAAAATTTGGCGGTTGTTTAAGCTGGATGTTATCATGATGATTGAGATATAAGATTCTGGATCAGATTTTATCATATAACAGTCAACATATTGACTTTCAACTTAGAATATCGTTCATTTTTTAACGGAAAAGGACGAGTTTAGAACTTAATGAATAGTCGGTGACCATTTTGTAACTTTTAATAGTCAAAGTATTCAACAAAGCAACACTCTATAATCGGAGAACAAATTTATAACTTCTGATATTCGAGGGACTTAATAAAATATTACTATATAATCAGGGGATTATTTGTGTGTTTTACCCTATTTTTTATCACATTGCCATAGCCTGAAAAATAAATATATCTTCATGAACTCTACCCGAAAAATACTTATAAACAAAATTTCAGCATATGTATAATCTAAGAAACTCCAAGCTCTCCTTAGTGCAGTAATCGAGTCCATATACAGTGATTTATCTAAGAAACTCGATATGTAGCCAAGTCCTTTTCTTGGAGTATAACTCCGAAGAAACATTGAACAACTGAACCCTGACAGACATTTTTGCCAAATCGAAATCAAGCCTCTTCAGATTAGGTTTTCATTTCCTCAGAACCAAAGGCTTATGCTAGATATGTCAGGAATCAATCTGAAGAACTCAATCCCTAGCAAATCCATTAACAAAAGAGAAAACGTATAGGTTAGGGCCAGCAAGACTAACCATCACCATCGAAGTTCCCCCCCCCCCAATCATCTCCACTATTTTATGCATGGATCCAAATTTTGGAGCTGAACTGACGAATTGTCCCACCAGCGAATACCGTCATTCAGAGACTCTTTCCTCAAACACATCTCTGATAGGAATTACAGTCAAAGAACCGTCGCTGCAACTCAGAGGAAAGGAATCAAGGGACTGCTACTCAACACCTGAGAACAAACTCTTCCAATCAACAATGATCATAGCTTCCCAGTTAATCCATCGTAGAGCCCAGCAAAGAACAAACAAAACCCAGCAAATCGAGCAAACCCCACAAGAACAAGCCAAAAATCCCAAAACGATAGACCCTCTATTGAGAGAAAAAACGCTTATTAACTGTCATCGATTCTATTTAGTGAATTTCCTAGTTCAGAAAATAAAAATAGTGAATGAAATTTTTATTCTTGTTAATTAACATATCAACTTTTTTGGTCTGGTCAGGTATATTAAATTACATGAAGTGGTTCGTGATGTTGCTCTATGGATTACATCTAAAGAAGAAAGTGACTTTATGATTAAATCCCGTCTTCAATTACTGAATGATAGCCTTGAACCTTGTAAGGCCATCTCATTGTTGGACAGTGAAACAAAAAGGTTTCCTGAGAAATTGGTATGTCCGAAGCTTGAATTCCAGTTTCTCAAAAACTGTTATGTACAAGGTATATGTTTTCAGGGGATGCAAGAAGCTGAAATTGAAGGTAGAATTCTTTTTAGTCTCTTTTTTTCATTTCGGTCTCTTTTTCTTTCTCTTTTAAGAGCTTTTCAAGTGAAATGGATGCTAAGAAAGAAGTAAATAATGGTGATATCATAATTACTGTTTATATAGTGGTATAATTGAATTAATGACCTAATTCTTAAACCATCCTATTTTTTTAATAATCGAGTAAGTAACTGATTCCATTATTTTACCCTTGATTTTTCTGATTAATGATTTTTTCCATTTGTTTTTTGAATTATATCAGAGGGATGCATCATCCTCAATGCCTGTGGATTTAGACGGAAGGGAGGTTCTTGAAAGCTTGGAACAGCTGAGAGTTACAGGCTTTGAACAGCTGCAGGAGGTCTTCCGAGATGATGAAGAAAATGAAGCACCGCCGTTGCTGTCAAATATAGAGCATCTGAAGCTAGAGTCTTTTTCGGAATTGAGATGGATCGTAAAAGTCCCCACTCATTCCGTCAGCTTCCAGGGTTTATCGGTTTTAGAAACAAATGGTTGCAATCAGTTGAAATACCTCTTCTCGCTCTCCGCCATTCAAACCATAAGGTCGCTGCAAGAACTCCACATAGTTGATTGCGATGAACTGAAGAGTGTTTTCATGGAGTCGGAAAGTAGCGATGGTGATCAAATAGAATCCGGCACACTTTACTTGCCAAACTTGAAAACTGTGGTCATATCTTCATGCCCCAACGCTGAATATGTTTTCCCACTTGCTTTGGCTGGCGGTCTTCCTTGCCTACAAGAGATACAACTTTCTGGTTTAGAAAATCTGAGCAGTTTTTTTGCAGAAAATAATATTGTGGAAGCACCAGCTCTGGAAATTTTACTAGTACTTGAATGTCCTCGATTTACAGTCATTGTTGAGAAAGAAGCTAACAAGTCTGTGTCATTAAAGGTAATCTTTGCTTTAATCATTTTTTTACCTCTGTTTTTTTTCCTTCTATTTTGAAACTTTTTTGTTCAAGCATGTCTCTTTAAGGGTGTTTGGTTCAAGGATTATGGGATTCTCATGGGATGGGAATCCCATATTCCCATGTTTGGTTGGTCGGGAATCTCATTCTCAGTAATATTTTGTTACCAATAGTAGATTTTTTAGGGTATATTACCGGGAATGTCATTACCTCCCTTCCCTTAGGTATTGTAACATTAGCGGCGTTTTGGACTAAAATGCCCTTAAATTTTTATTTTTTTTCAAAAATATCCTTCTTCTGTCATTGAATAATAAAAATTTTACGAAGGTTAAATTACAAATTTATCCTTAAATTATTTTAGATTTACAAAAAAAATTTATAATTAAAATTTTATATGAAGTTCAGGGATTAAAAAAAAATTACACTTTCATTAAACATTTTTTATATTTTTAATTTTGTAAAAAAAATTATATAAATATTATGAATTTAATTTTTTAAAGGAAATATATAAATATTTTACAATTTGTAATATTATACAAATATATAATAAAGACAATTTGGTCAAATATACATTTCAATAATCTTTTATTCCTTTAACCAAACACGGTAATCTTACATTCCTGCTAAACCAACTAAACACAAAATACAACATTCTCAGTAATCCTATTACCTGGTAATCTTTTATTCCCACTGGTAATCTTACATTCCGTGAACCAAACGCACCCTAAAGGTAATCCTATAATACGATTGAGGAATCACTTTTTGGTCTTCTAATCTTAATTATAATTAGTGTTTTTGAGGGAACTTATAAATCAAATATAAGATTTAATTGATATTGTCAACCATCTCTAGAGTTAGTTAAAAACTCTCGATTGACACCTCTCTACCCCTAGATTGTGGGTTAATATCCATTAGGATTAAAATTTCCCTCCCCTCCTCCTAGGTAGTATTTGTTAACAAACACTATTATGGAAATAATATGCAAGAGTAACCGTTTCTCTTACTTTCACACAGGAATTGAATTTAAACCCCAATTCTTGCAACATGGCGAGCGTGTCACTGGGACAGATATCTCCACCTTTCGAAAGTTTAACTATGGGAAACTCTGAACAATTGTTTCAACTTCAAAGTGGATTCTCCATCTCAAATCTGGAGTTCCTGAACATCTCCCATATGATTTGGCTACCAGATATTTGGAAGGGTTCCATCCAATTTACAACAAATCTCAGAATATTATGCATACAATCCTGCCATCGATTGACGTACATCTTTCCAATGATGTTCATCCAAAATTTACCACATTTGAACTTTCTTGGAATATTCAACTGTGAGAAGTTGGAGCGTATAATTACCACTGATGACATTGTGGCATCGTCGTCGTCGTCACAAGCTCTACCCATTGGGAAGAAAATGGAATTCCCCCAATTAGAGGAAATGGAGCTTACCGAATTGCCGAGTCTAGTGAGTTTCAATCCTTTGGGTTATCATCTGGTATTTCCAAGTTTGAAATCTTTTACGGTTAGAGACTGTGACAAGATGATCACAAGTTTCATGATTGACCATTTAACAATGACTGTCCATGCAAAAACAGAACAGGTATTTAATCACTCAAAACTCGTTCTTTTAATTATTTATTATCATTTTAAATTTTTTTGGTACAATATAAAATTTAGGTTTGGGGTGACTCCCCTAGTCCAGGATCGGGACATACCTAAGACCCAATTAATATTTACGTAAGAATTTACATATTTTCCACCAAGAATGACGGTGGCAGGATTCGAACTTGGCCTTACAAGCTCAAATTTCTTAATCCCAACCACTTGTACCAACACTCGTTGGATTTATTATCGTTTAAAATGATGGCATGGGAAACTCCCTCCAGTAATTAACACTTAATATCTGCTACGAAGTTTAAGTAAATTTTCTTTTATTCTGTAATATTCTCAACTATTTTTAATTGGTTAAGGCACCCCCACTGGATCGTGATATAGAATGGGACAGCAACAAGCCTTGTTCACTGCCTCAGTATGTGGAAGAAGCCAAAGAAATGTGAACATTGAACCGAATCTTGTGTTGATTTTCGTGTTTTTATGTGGTTCATTTGATGTTTGTCTATGTTTGTTTTGTTTTTGCTTTGTTATCGGTTATGTGTACCAGACCAGACTATGTGTTTGCTACGTCTAATCATAATCTGGTGTACTTTTTCCTCTTTCCGCTGAACTGCACTTTTGGCTTGGCTTGGTTTTCAACGAGGCACCGGTTCCCTTACAAAAAAACCACTTGAGCAGTTGAACATGGCATCATCATCAACCTTCTTTCTTGCTTTCCCTTTCTTCTGTTTTTCTTCCTAGTGATAATTAGCATTTTGTATTATAAAGCATATGCATGCGGTTCGCTAATTATGCTGTTCAGAAGCTGATCGACCGAGCTGTTTGTTTTATGGAGTTGTATACTCAGCTGAGGTCTCTTTGCTTCAATGCTATTTAATTTGTTATCTAATCTGTGTTTTCCTTGATTGTACGTCAATACCAAAATTATATTAACCCCATATCAATAAAAACCCCTAAAATGTGAATGACCCATAAGGTCAAGAGAATACATGCAATCTATGAACTCTTGCGTTAACACTTGTTCATTTTCTTCAACACGTTATGCAAGGAGTGTTCATACTCTGATTAGATAATTATAGAAGTACAGACGAAATGCCCATTATAATTCTCACCTAATGTTGCTAATGGACAACCTGCCATGGAATATTAAACCGAGTACATATTAAAAAGATTTAAAGAAAACGACTTTATTGTTATTAATAATAAAATTAAAGAAAATATAAGCCTCTAACTGCCATCAAATATTAAACAATGACTACACACGTTACGACCAAGAAAATGTGGAAGAAGCTCTAAGAAAATGATATTTTCACCTGACGGGTTGGTTAAAGTGGTAAATAGTTTGATATTATTTAAATAATATCTCGGGTTCGAGTCATTATGTATGCATAAAATTTTTGTCAAGAGATCCACCTACCAAAGCCAAGTGTGCAACGTGAGTCGGTCCGAATAAAACGAAGCATTGGAATTGGAAATGCAACAAAAAAAATGTTCTTTTTATCTTAGAACCTAATATGAAAATTCTATAGATAACCATGGGTGATTGAATAAAATATTAAGATTCTATAAATTACAAACCGGGGTGGTTGAATCAATATTTTAGAAGCTAATAATACTGCTTACTTACCTACTCCCACTCTCTTTAACTCTGGTTTGTAATTTATAAAGGTTTAGTTTCAGTATACTATATACTCAGCTTCCATATTCAACTTGTCTCATCTCTGTGTTTAGTTTCCCATCACAACTATTTTTCTTTCATTTGGTTTCAACTTCCGATTGTTCAAAGCGAAGAAATACTGAAGAAGAGAAAGCTCGACGGTAGAATTCAAGGAGTTGAATTTCTGGTGCAGTAAACCCAGATAGTATCAAGCTTTAGAAGGCACAAATGGAGGTAATTGTGATCAGGGTTTCAAAAAATGGTCCGCGACCGCGATTTTGTTCGCGATATAGTGGTTTCGCCGCTGTCCGAGTTACTCGCGACGGCCGCAATAGCGTCCGCGACGACCGTAATAGCGCCCGCGACGGCCGCAATCACGGTAAATCTGAACTAACCGAAAACGCGACCGCGACCGCGATTTGAAACCCTGATTGTGATTTCAACTTTTCTAAATTAAATAAACTAATTGTTATACGTTAAGTTCGCTTAATTATTGGGTTAAATAAACTAATTGTATTTTTTTAATAGTTGAACGACTAGGTCATCTCCAACCCTCATCTCACTCTACAGCATCTATATATCTACTCTAAAGATAAAACAGTAATTCATGTCTAACATTATTTCTATATTACCACCAACTCTACTTTATTCACAATATTTAACTATTATAATTTTAATTTTGCAAATATAAAATAAAACATATATATTTCTAATAAATATCAAGATAAAAGGTATAAATAAAACATTCATAAATAATATTACGAAAATAAAAATAAATAAGAAAATTACAATTCATAATAATAATAATGCGAAAAAACATAAGTTATATAATTATATATTTTAATTCTCGGAATTAGAATATTTATTCCACAAATGCTCAATTAATGCATTTCGTAGAGCAAAATGTTTTTGCGTTTGTTGTAGTTTTTATGTTTTAAAAAATTAATATGTTTATTTATCTAATTTCAATGTATTTTTATATATCTTGTAATTTAATCTACTTGAATTTTAAAAAATCAGAAAAATTTAAAAAAACAGAAAAAATTACAAAAAAAAATTAGTATGTTTATTTATCTAATTTCAATGTATTTTTATCTATCTTGCAATTTAATCTACTTGAATTTAAAAAATCAGAAAAATTACAAAAAAAATAATATGTTTATTTATCTAATTTCAATGTATTTTATTTATATATCTTGCAATTTAATCTACTTGAATTTAAAAAAAATCAAAACAATTACAAAAAAGAAAAAGAAAAAGAAATGGTAGCACATTACCACAATAAAGATCGTTTTTGGCGATGGGCTGGAGAAAAATACTATCTCTGAGATATTCTCCTAACTAGAGCAGCGTTGGAGGTGCCCTTAATAAAACAGTACTCTATAGACAAAGGATCTTTTGTGTACTTTACCCAAAAATTAATCAAATTTAATTACAATAGTTATCATGATCGATATTATATAAAATACAGAAAATTGAATATATTTAAAATTGTATATATAGGCATATTTTTTATATGTGGAAAATGTATAACAAATATAAATTTATGAACAGGGCCGACCCAATACATGTGCCAGATGGGCGATGGCCCAAGGCAGCATGTAGGGGCATCAATTTATGTTTTTGACTCTAGTTTCTTTTTGACCCTTTTTGTTACCCTCTCACTCGTGCTTTTTCATCTTCTCCCAACCCTAGCTTCCCATTTTCTCCCACTTTCCTTTTCTTCCGCTTAGATCTCGTTGCTCACCGAATGTACTTTGGCGGTCAAGAGAGTGAGGTCTGAGGCTTCCTTGAACGGCAATGGCGGCTTCAAGAAATCCAAGCAAGGTGCGAATTTTCTGCTACTCATATGTCTATCTTATTTATATACATGCTTATACGACTGTTTGTGCTATATTTGTGGTAAAATGGTGATTTCTAGGGTTTGAAGAACTTTCCTTTTGTTTTTTTGCTTTCCCCTTCCCCTTCTTCGTTTGTAATATCTCTTCACTTTCTTTATTGAGGTGCCGAGAAAGTAGCAAGCTTCAAAATTGTGTAATTTAGGTGTTTGATAACTTGGAAAATACTAAAAAAGATTTGAATATTAGATATACTTTTGGTGACAAAAAAAATCTCCAAATGAATAAGTATAAAAATAAATTGAATGATTTATGCTCTAGTTTAATTTAACTATGTAAACTTAATAAAAGGGTAAAAAAGAAGCTTTATGAAAACAAAGGTAAAGAATGACATTTGAGTTTAGATTTTGCTTATTTATGTCACATTCGATCACATACATACAATTGTCGGGTTTTAAAACAATAAAACCCTAACAAGCAGCTTTATGCTTGCTGGGTGGAGTTTTAGAAATCAATGTAAAAGTAGTCAGTTAGCAAATTATCTGACATTTAGTAGAAGTTTAAACGCTGCTTTGGATGATGCAATTATCTATTTCTTTGAACATGGAATTTAATTACTCCACAACTGTCTTGTTGATTGTCACATCCGTTTAACAACATTTGTTGTAGACATTTTGAATTATTTTCCAATTTATAGGTATTTTCCACCCCTGTGTGTTATCTCACTTTGTTTGGATTTCCTGAGCTTAAACAGTAGTGAGTTGGCATGTGATTGCTCTTGTGCTTTATTGATGATAATTTGTATTGTTTCATTGTTTGCATAGTTGGGTTTATATTGGCGATGGTCATGAATGTTTATTCTCCATCTCTTGTTCCTTTTATCATTGTATTATTTGGGTAAAAAATTGTATGCATTGTCAGGTACACCGATCCTTAGTTTATTATGGCTAAGCTTTTCTTACGCGATTTCAGTGATGGCTTACTTACTTTGTTTGTGAATCGAGTATTATACTTGTATACATTGTATTGTTGTAATTTTATAGTCTTGATTTCTCACGTGTCTTTGTATTTGAAAATTTGGCATGGTAATTCCTGTATAAGTTTTTGGTTTTAATGTATGAAGTGAAGAGATATTTGCCTTAATTTAATTTTTCAACAGAATCATTTGGGGTGGGTGGGGGTGAGTAGGAGAACTCTGTTTTCTTTTAATCATCTGAAACTTAGTTCTTGGGGGAAGTTGGAAGCAGAAATTACTTTCAAAGTCACTAAGTTGAGCTGTATTTTTTCCGGGGAAAAAATGCACGAATGCATCGTTTTAGGTGATATTTGTAGCCTTGTAGGTTTTGGTTTGTATTAATATTGATATTGTTTGATTATAATTTCTATTACATTTTTGTTTTAAAAAATTTATTTATATTTTGTTTAGTATACAGTACAAGTATAGGGGCATAAAATTATTATCTCGTCCAGAGCATTAAAACTCATTGGACCGGCCCTGTTTATGTAATAAACATTCATATCATAAAGATATTGCAAAAGATACAAAAGCGCTGAAAACTTATATATCATAAAGGAAAACACTATTTAGCGACAAAATTTTGGTTTTATCTATGCATGGCCTATTGTATTAAAGGTGGATACACATCTACATATAGATACAGAGTACGTAGTGGAAGACTTTGACTTGTATTACTAGCACTATGCCCATCTACGTACAATTAATTAATTAATTAATTACATTGAAATTTATATGCATTATTAAAAAAATTAACACAATAAGCTTTGGAGAAAAAATTCAAACAAGATCGTTAGTCGGATAATTTGTTTTTGATTAATCAGGGATAAGAATAAGACATTATAACATATGTTCAAAGATAATTTTCAATCATTTGACATTGATCGTAGACGCTTCTGGCATTTTTTGTATTCGAACCCAGAATCTCAAGAAATAACAACAATTCATTTACCATCGAGATCGTTCGGTTCGTGCTAACTAGAAAATATATGATTGTTCGGGCCTGATCCTTTGTATATATCACTAAAAAAGTAAAATAATAATATGATCCTTTGCATAAATCACTAAAAAAGTAAAATAATAATAATTTAATTAAAATGAAAGTAATAAAATGAATTTTATTTGAATCAAATTAATACAAAAATCATGTCAATATTATAATGATTATTTATCTAAAATAAAAAAAAATTGATTTTATTTGAATGAAATCAATACACAAATTATCTTAATTATCGATGAAGTTAAATAACTTGACAAATAAAGTTTAATGAATGATGTGATATTTAAGAGTTTATGTTTTTATAAAGAAGAATGTAAGGTTTAGGGATTAAGAATTATACTTTTAGGATTTAAAATTTAATATTTAGGGTTTTAGGATTTGGGGATTACATTTTGGATGTATCAAATACTAGCCCTTAAAAATTACTCATATGAAATATTTTTATTTATTGCTGAATCAAAATAATAGTAATAAATAATTGAAAGCAAAAAAAAAATCTATACCCAATGTTGTTGGGCCTCATGGGCTAATCTTCCTCATTTCATTTTCTCAGTTGTCTCAAAAGCCTCTCGAGCCTTCTGCGAAAAAAATTCAAGCTTCAGCTTGCTACGATCCCCAGTTGCTGCAGGTAATCTCCCTTTCTTAGCAAATGCATTGAAATTTAACTGTTCAATTCATTAGCTAAGCTTCGTATTACTGCGTTTTTTTTTTCCTATATTGCTTCCGAAGAATGGAAACAATCAACCTTTACTCAAATTTACTCTATTGATTCTCGACCGAACGCCATTTTCTTTGCTTGTCACACCTTAATATGAGGTTAGATTTCTTTCAGTTTAAAATATGTGAAATGATATAAAGTTTGATTGACAAATAATTGTGTTATCATACTATTATATTATTAAACAAATTGAGGGTCACTCGATAAGAGATATATTTTTTTAAGTAAGGATAATGGTGTTGCAGACAAGGTTGGAATCCATTGCTTTCCGGCTTAGAAGAAATGTTATATTAATTCCTGCTTGTTGATTCACTGCTGGATTTGTTGACAAAAGAAAAATAAAATAATGGAAATGATGTGGTTTGTGTGATAAAGAATGTTGCAACGTTAACTGGTGCGTTGTTTACTTTGCATGCCTCTCGAATTCGTATTGAGTTGCCTACACTCTCTGATAAAGACAATGAGCGTATGGGAAAGCGAGTAGCGGCTCGAGCGTGAGTAATCAACAAACCGAGATGTCAATAATTTCATTTCAGCTGCAATCGAGCGAGTGTTATCAATCTGAGGCACACCCAAGAATGAAAACTAAGGCTATATCAAAACCAAGAAGATCCATGCTGTTCTTATGTCACTTCTGCAACTCAAAACCTGCAGTTCTGTATTACAGCGCCGACTCCGCAAGTCTCTGTTTGTTCTGTGACCAATAAGTCCACTCCGCCAATGCCCTCTCTCTCAAGCACGTTCGTTCGCAGATCTGTGACGGTTGCAAAGCCAAACCGGCTTCTTTTCTCTGCTCTGATGATAATCTTATGCTTTTCCACGACTGTGATCGGAATTCACGTAACGCCAGCGACTGTTGTGGTTCAGTTATGCACCAGCGTTCTCCGGTTGAAGGCTTCCCAGATCGTCCTTCCGTGATTCAACTTGCTTCGCTCTTCGGTTTTGACTTGAAACCGACAGATTTGATGGATTTAATTCCTGGGTTTTCTTCGTACGAGCCAGAACTGATGAATATAGAAGATTTCATGCCTCCTAAAGAGAATTCTTGCGTTTCATTTGCTTTCCTTAACTCTGTTAAGCTCGACCATGAGGTGTATAGGCAACTCGTCGAGATGGGGAAACGGGATTTGGTGAGAGTAAGCGGTGATGGAGATGAACAGCGGAATACTACAAGTGATGAGGAGTTTGAGGCTATTCGAACCATGTATGTTGGTTCTCGGACGACGACCAGTGACGACGGTTGATGTGGTGGTCGTCGGCGTTCAAATACCTATCGACCAGGCTCCCTTGTTCATCTGCTGAATACGGCTTGAACCTTTAAATATTAAGTAAAGGAATGAAAAAAAGAAATGGTGGAATGGTTCAATGCACGTGATGAAGAGTAAATCACAGCAGGAGTCATCCAAGTTTAGTGAGAATTCAACCTTGTCTACTATTTTTATATAATTATGAATGTTGTCTAATGGTTTGAATAAGATTATTTTGGTCACTTGCCTTGGTAGCTAAGTATTAAATTGGCCTTTTGAGTTCTTAATTTTGTCAGTTATGTCCCTCTATTACATAAATGATTTTTAATAAGTTATTTTTATGCTGAAGAAAATTATTTGAAGTCGTATTTGTACAATAGATTGTTTGTGTTCGTTAGAAAAAGATTGGAAGCTAGAAATCAAGTTGGTGAGCTGGATTTCAAGAGTAATATTTTGGGTTTTGTTGATATCCTGAGTCCGATTCCTAAGTCCGTTTCGTCAAATTCGAACCCGGTAAGTTGTTTTTCACTGATTAATCACCTGATTCGATCTGTTTTTCGCAATTAAGCTCTATTTTTAATGAAATTTATGTTTATATGTATCTGAGGAATTATTGGAAGTTGATTTCAAGATCGAGGCGTTCGAAGAGAGTTTAAATGGTCGATCAGTATGGCATAAAAATCGAGGTAATACATTATTACCTCTTTATGCTTTATGGAACATGTCGATATTGGTAAATGCATGAATAAAGAAATGTTTGGTCTTATCTGAGTAGTTAATTAGTTTCTACACTTGATACGAATGCGGTAAAAAGTAGGTAACTGAATAAAAATTCGGATGACTTGTACAAGGAATTAGAAGTTTTATAAGGAATAATTTCAAGTTCAGAGATTATTCGGAAAAACAATTAACCCTAGGATCTCTAAATTCTATTTATCATTGTTAAGAGTTTTAATATCGAAATTACCTAGTTAAGAAATTACGAAAATACCCTTGAGGGGTAAAAATAGTCTGAGTTGACCCTGAATGAGAAAGTACCCTAAGGATTCGTACTTAAATCGATAAATTACATATTTAATTGTTAAGATCTTGTATTTGTACAGAAAATTTCTAATATTCCGTTTGTAAAATCTGAGAAGGCATTTGACCTGAAAATCTCCGAGTTATGAGTAAATACCTGAAGAATAATTTATCGATGGGGTTCTTTTGTCAGAATTATTCGAAAGGACTGAAGTAAATAATAAGTTTGAATTAAATAATAAGACCAAACGGAAGGAAAAGATTTAAATAACTTGAATCTGTAAAATGACTAAAATACCCCTGGAATAGAAATGACCTAAGAATATCACCAAGCCCAGGAATAATTGAATCCTCAAGCTTTGAAAATGTTCGGAATAACATTGAGTATTAAAATGACCAAAATACCCTTATGTTCAAGAATAAGTAATTGTCTTGGATTAATTAAGAAATATAAATAAACAAGGATGTTGTACTGCTCTTAAAAGTTATAGAACACAACTTAAGTCGGTTAACAAACGCTAGTGCTATATCAGTACCTGAATGGCATAGGTACCACTTGAATGCTTGTTCATCTCCTCAAGTTTGGATCGATGATAATTATATAAGTACTCAGCTCAGCTCAACTCTAGATAGCATTCGGTACTAAGAAGTGGATATTCATTAGACAGATCAACCACAAATACCAAATTGAATTGAACGAAAGTACAATATGTATCCGAAATTCAGAAACGTTCGAATTACTCTGGAAAAACTCTGATGTAACTGGACTACTAAATAAACTAAGTAACCTCAATGACTGAGGATTAAGTAAGTGATTGTGATAAATCTTGAAACTCTGATGAACTTACATAATGTATCATCCCTATGGGTTGTGAACCATAAATAAGTACGTTGGCAATTCCTGATATAGTTGAAACATGGAAATGAAATAAAGGCCATTATAATATATGATCGTCTCCTTAAGATCCATTCATTGATGACTCAGAAGATGGTTTATGGACAAGAATTGTTGGTATTAAAGAGTGAATACCTAGAAGGGCAACGAATGGACCAGTTAACAGACATTAGTTATGGGAGTTGTTCAACTTGAGTTGTTTCGATAATCCGATAGATCGGCACAAACTGTAAATGTCATGAACCTTCATTTCTTCCTTATCAGCTCAAATCACATTCTGAATAATTGATGATTCCGTCAGTTAATGAACTCTTCCTATATTGATTCTAAATTTCAACATTCTATCGGTATACTGAAGATCTATATTTCTCTACCCAATATGATTATCCAATATCTCTAAATAATATCTGAAAATTCTAGTGTGTTCCCTAATCACATGAATATTTTATCTGATTTCCGATTTGAATTCTGTTATGATACCTGACATGGATTCTATTCTTATACATGACCTGGATTTTGTTCTGATATCTGACTTGAATTATGTTTTGATATATCCATTTACGGACGAAAAATGTTTTATTTGGGGGTATTGTTGGAGGAAGAATACTTGCAGGCTCCTCGGCTTTGTGCTCAGGGCCTTCTTGGACATGACGGGGTTGTATGGTTCTGGGGAACCTACACATTATGGACGTGTTTGGTTGGAGGAATCACTATGGTTTTTTAATTTTAAAAATATGTTTTAAAAAGATCTATATCTTTTCACTGGTTTTATGGGAACACGCTAGATCACCTATTCTAATCTCCTAAACCCAGACATCCGAAATATTTTCCTTTGAATTGAAAATTTACTATCTGTTACTACCTGAGATATCAGTGGAACCTTAGCTTAGCCTAAAAATATGTATATGTCTGAACCAATAAGGAAATATATGTTTATCTGTATCTACATCAGTAAGGGAGTTCTTTCGGCGATGCTTGCAGAGTATGGTACATGTGATTTGAGGACTTGTAATTATATTTTGTTTTATATAAGAGTCTGAAAATCTATTTTATTTATGAATACTGATAAATTATTTTATGATTTACATGTTTTGATAAAAGTTAAATTTTTCGTTATTTTTACGGTGGGTCACTCCGGTGGCCCTAATGTGACACCCCAGATCGGATTAGGTTAACTGTATCAGTCTGAGTGGTTACATTGCTCCTAATAGTTTGGTGTAAATTGATTTTGTAACTTTACAATCAGTTTATAAGCTTGGTAGAATGGTAGGTGCCTTTCTCGCACTACACCTGTTGGAAGGAATTAATGAAAAAAACTGTTCCTTTCAGGATATATCTGGAGAGATTGTAATTCTATGTTGTAAGGGGTTCTTTTAATTTGATTACAACTGAAACATTGAATTTGAAATTTTCTTTCTTTTTTAATTGCAGGTGGTTTTTACTGACAGAAGGTTAATTTTCCTAGGCAATGTGTTGAGAGCTTCTGTTATTCTATTTTAAATTGCTTTTTTATTTGTGGTTTAAGCTTTTGGAGTGTTTTTTGTTTTAATTCATAAACTTGTTAGGTAAGTATATTATATCGTTTTCTAGGTAACATGAATAGGTTTGGTCAAACCTTGAAGATAAAGATCGCTGAAATTCAGAGGGCAAGGAAAAGAAGGAATCCCAAGAAGGATCAATTGTTTGTGGAGGTTCCCGAATCGAGATCCTTTCTAGATACGGCAACGCTGCTGATGGTTCTTGCTGTAGCTGGAATTGCATTGTTTGCGAAGCTGCTCATGATGGTTTGTTTTCTCAATCTCTGTTTTTACCGAGAATGCTCCTTCAGTTACAAAGTTTGATGATTGCTTCTAGCTGATCTATTTGAGAAACTACACGGATTTTCAGGCTGCCTTGAGTGTACAAAGCTCAGCATCTTATATTGTCATCTATGGATAATGCAATTTAGAGTAAAATAATCACTGCTAAAAGCATTTATTCTGGAAGTTTATTCTTATTGGTTGATAGGTCAAACAGTTTATAGTAATTTTTCTGTTTTTGAGGCTTTATGAATCGGCTTCTGACAGTTGCATGTCTCATCGAGTGCTCTTGTTTAGTATTTACGAATGAATGCGGATATTTTTATACTGATATTTTGTCCATTGACAGAATGATGAATCGAAGTCCCAGGAAATGATCGAGCGAAAGATAAAGAATGCTCCTCCTGGTCAAGGCACGGTCAGGATGCTTACTCGTGAGGAGTGGGAAGAAATCAGAGAAGTCAGACCAAGAACTCCTTTTGAATCCAAGCTTGCTCGTCCAAATGCAAAAATAAGAACCGGAGAGCCATTGCATATGGTAAGCCACATATCTGGTACTCAAAATTTTTTTTTTTTGGATAATTCGATTTTATTACCCAAAGATCTGTATAAAAACAGATTGTTCAATAATACAAACAGTATCTACTTACAGCAGAACAAAATATCAGCTATTCAATACCCTAATGATTACAAAGCATAGTATTAACACTATCATTCCTATTAATTCTTCTACCCCTTAGTTGGATAGCAACAGTGTGTTTTACAGCATGGAGTAATGCTTCAAAATTCCGTGAGCATCCCTGGAATAGCCTCTTGTTCCTCTCCTCCCAAACAGTGTAAATAAATGTTGTCCAAGCTAATTTCAAAATTGTAGTGAGCAAGGATCTACCTTTCCAAGCATCACAAGCCCAAGCTAAGTGATTTCCCCATGTGCGTGATGTCCTTCGCATGCCATTGAGGATGATAACCGCATCCCATAGAGAAATAGCCAGAGGACATTGAATGAATAAATGATCTCTAGTTTCCATCGAGTCATTACAAAGCACACATTTGTCATCGATATCAAACCCAAAACGTTTCAGTCTGTCTTTAGTTGGGAGTCTGTCTAATAAGGCCATCCATGCAATAATACTAAACTTAGGAATATGGAGAGGGAACCAGATCAGTTTGTGCCACACCACTTTTGCCCCTTTGTTTCGAATCATTAGCCAAAAATCCTTAATTTTCTGCACACCAGATGTTAGCACATGGAAAGCTTGGAGTCTCATTCTAAGTAAGCGTCGAAAGCTCCAAGTATTATTAATAGAATCGTTCATGTTCCAAAAATCAGAATCCTTGATTGCATAATTTTTTATCCAGGCAATCCACAAGGAACCTTCACCCGCTAGTAAATTTCGGATCAAATGCATCATACAAGCATTATTCCAAGATTTGATGTCCTTAAGTCCAAGCCCTCCTTCAGATTTAAGGAGGCAAAGCTTTTCCCAACTTACTCTCGCACCAGTAGCAGACTTGTCCGAGCCTTTCTAGAAAAAACGCGAACATAGCTGCTCAACTCGGCTAAGCACAGATTGTGGCAGAATAAGCTGTCTGCACCAGAAATTTGTAATGCTCAACAGAACAGATTTAATAAGTTCTAATCTACCAGCATAGCTCAAATGTCTTCTAGACCACTTGTGTAAACGATCCCTGATGTTGTCAATAAGAGCCACACAATCTTTATCTGAAAGCTTCCTCGATACCAAGGGAACACCCAAATATCTAACTGGCAAGCAACCTTGGTTAAAACCAGTAAATCTTTTTATTTCATCAGATTTACTTGGTGAAATTCCAGCAGCAAAGAATTCACATTTGTGAGCATTTAGTTTGAGACTAGAAATTTCATAAAACTGCTCTAAAACACTAATAACACCCACAACAGACTCCACATTTCCTTTGCAGAAAATAAGTAAGTCATCAGCAAAGTTAAGATGAGTTAACTCAATTTTTTTACAACGAGGGTGATAACCAAATAATCCTCTTTGAGCAGCCTTGTTAAGTAATTTAGAGAGTACGTTCATGGAAAGGACAAATAAGAGAGGTGAAATAGGGTCACCTTGTCTGAGACCTCTTGTACCTTTGAAGTAACCAATTAAGGTTCCATTAAATGAAATGGAATAACGAGCGGCAGAGAAACAAGCTGCAATCCAGTTAATGAAAGCTCTAGGGAGTTCAATAGCAGTCAGGACAGCAGAAATAAAGCCCCAATGTAGCGAGTCAAAAGCTTTATGAAGGTCGATTTTCAATGAACATCGTGGGGAAATAGATTTTCTACCATAGCCCTTTACAAGTTATTGTGCCAGGAGGGTGTTATCTACAATGTTCCTTCCTTTTACAAATGCTTTTTGATTAAGGGTAATAATTTCTGGTAAAAGATTTGTCAATCTTTTAACCAAAATCTTAGAAATAGCTTTATAAACCACTGAACAGCATGAAATAGGTCTGAAATCCTTCACTTTGCTTGGATTTGGAACTTTAGGCACCAGAGTAATACTTGTTGCATTGAAAGCATGTAACATGAAAGATTCCTGGAAGAATTGAGTAATAGCAGCCACCACATCATTTTCAATAATAGACCAGGTAATCTTGAAAAAATAGGGAGTGTAGCCATCTGGTCCTGGTGCTTTATCATTACCTTGACTGAAAAAAGCCTCTTTAATTTCATCCTTTGTAAGTTCCTTGACAAGAGCATTGGAAGCATCATTAGGCAAAGAGAATTGTAGCAAATGTTTTAAAATGTTGGGGTCACAATCTTTGACTCCTGGATCCGCAGTCCCAATCAACTTAGTAAAAAAACTCATCACTTCTTTAGCCATGTCATCGAAGGATTCAATTTTGTTTCCATGATCATCAACAAGGACTCTAATAGTGTCCCTCTTGTTCTTAGAAGCCACATCCGAATGGAAAAATTTGGTGCATTTGTCTCCTTCTTTGAGCCATTGAACTTTGGCCTTTTGTTTTAAAAATAAATTTTCAGCCTCTTCAAGGAGTCGAAGCTCTCTTTGTAATTGAAGCTCTTGGTGTATGGTAGCATCTCCTCTTAAAGTTTTTAGTTGTTGATGTTCCAACTCAACCTTTTTATGCTTAACTCGGGCTGATAAGTCACCATAAAAGTGATGGTTAAGAGATTTCAAACTAGCTTTGAGATGCTTTAGTTTGAAGAACAGGGTTTGTATAGGGCTGCCTTGTGAGTCATTTTGCCAAGACTGCCTCATCACATAAATTAAAGAATTTAAATGGCTTTGGATGGTTAGCAGGAACCTCTTTAGTGAGCCAAGCCAATGCCAAACAGTGGTCAGAAATTCCAGGGGCAAGGAATTCCACATGAGAATTTCGAAAGGAGTTGAACCACTCAGTGTTGACAAGGACCCTGTCAAGCTTCTTCGCAAGGTAAGAATCTTGTTGTTTATTGCTCCACGTGAAGGTAGGGCCAAAAAAAGGATGATCAGATAGCTCTAGATCAAAGACAACATCTTGGAATTCCTTCATATCAGCATTCAAAAAAGGTCCCAACAAGTCGGAATTTGAGGTTTCATTAGAGTTTAAAATAATATTGAAATCACCTCCCAAAATCCAAGGAAGGTTGCTAAATTGTCTATTCAAATCATAAAGGTGGTGCCAAAGTTGTCTTCTTAAATTGCCATCATTTCTGCCATAAACTGCTGTGATGACCATAGGAACACCAAGGAAGAGTCCTTTAATAGAGATGCATTGGTCCGTAGTATTGATAACAGTGAAATCCAAGCTTTTCTTCCAAAGGGTCCAAATCCTTCCATTTTCAGCAAAATCATAGTTAGTGCAAACATTCCATTGCTCAAACTTACTGTCAAGGATACATTTAGATTTACTAAGTTTAACTCTAGTTTCCAAAAGGCAAAAAACATCAACATTAGTAAGAGTAGCTCTCTTAAGAACATTGTTTTGCTTTAGAGGGCTATTCAGTCCTCTAATATTCCAAAACCCAATTATCATTGAGAATGAGAGATGGGGGCATTCACATTACCACCCACTGTAACATTTCTAACTTTCTCCAAATGATTCTTCTTTTTTGCTTTCAGTTCATTGACAAGCACAGCAACTCCTAAAGAAGCGGCTCTTTTCTTATGTTGCACATCAACAGAACACGAGGCATCTTCAGCTGAGTTTAAAAGCTCAAAACGATTCCTTGATCCAGTAAGAGCAGATTTTGGAGTGTCCTTGGCAGGCCTACCTTTACCCCGCGTAAGAATTGGAGGCTCATGATTTGGTTTTTTGTCATCCACTGGTATTTCAATAGGTTCAGGAACAATAGTTTCATATTTACCAACAGAAACAGGTGGCTCGGTAGGAGAAATATTGTTTTCTGTTTCAGAACTAATTGCCTTAATATTTTGTTCCTTAGTATCATTTACCACAGAGGGAGTCGGATCTTGTAGGAGCTCAATGCCTCCTACTGTTGGAACCACCACATTAGAATTTTGCAGAACGTCTTTCTTTTTCCATATATGCATAATAGCCTGGGCAGATTTTGATTGTTCTTTACAACCCTTATCGCTGTGCCCAAAGACTTTACAAGCCCTACAGCTCGGAGGTAACCACGGGATCTCAACAGGGATAGAAGTTATTGAACCATCATTCAGTACAACATCCACATATTCTGGAATTTTATCATTCCATCCTATTTCAACACAGATTTTAGCGAACTCTAATCTTGTTTTAGAAGCTGTTACAGAGTCCATGGAGAGAGGAACTCCGATGGCACTCGCAATATAACTAAGACCTGTCCGAGAGAAGAGCTCTAAAGGCACGTTATGGAGGTGTACCCAAATAGGGATTTTAGTAAGATCGAAGTTTAATTTTTTCAGATTTGGTTCCCATTTCCTAAGAATTAGAGATTTGTTATGTAAATGCCAAGGTCCATTTTCTAACACCCATTCTTTAGCAGCTTCCGAATTGAAAGAGAAAATGTATAAGTTGTTACCTGCCAAACTAAGCTGAACCCGATTTCCTTTCAGTGCTTTCTTCCACAAGATGTCAACAGTGCGTTGCAATGAAGAGAAATTCGGAGGTGACCCAAGGAATTGACCCACTAGAGAATGTTTCCACTCTGAAATCCCAGCCTCGAAGACCTCAGGCGGAGGTTGAACCGTCGGAGATCCATCGCGCACTTTTGGGGGAAAGAACTCCAAATCATGCCCTATTGTGCTCACGAACAACTTCCTCCAATCCATCTTGCACTTTTGGGGGAAAGAACTCCAAATCATGCCCTATTGTCCTCAATTTTGTTTGATGGATGAACATAAGAACCCTTGATGTTGATGGTTTTCAGATCGTGCTAATTTTTGTATTGTATGTAGGAGGACTTGAAGAATTGGACAATTGATGTTCTCACAGATGCAGTAACGCGAGCTGAAAACTGTTTGAAACGTAAGTAGAACTGATATCACGCTAGAAAACTTTGCCATATTTTTTCCCCTCAGTACAAATATAATTCTTGGATGAATTGAGAACCATTACTGATTCTGATGCCTAGTGTGAATAATTATGCAGGAAATGGCTCAAATGGATTTGCATGGCATTTAACTGTAGCCAATGAATGATTAGATCTTTAGCAGATTTATAGAGGCATATAATGTATAACATGTTATGGCATCGTCTTGGGGTCCCCCCCCCCCAAAAAAAACAAGGATGTTTATATTTGCACAATTTTGATTTCTTTTAATTTTAAATTTTCATTAACTTTTGCCACAAAGAACTTGTGTATCATTAGGAATTGTTAATCTAGAGGTTCCTTCTACTATATTTAATTTTAAATATGGCTCTTCTGAAGCTTTTAAAAACCTGAAAACAGCTAGGGATGCTCTACAACCACATATGTTCCTTTTTATCCATTATTTTGTAATAATAGCAAAAAAGACAACAAATTTATAAATAATTCACTCATTTGAACAAGAGAGAAATGCAACTTCCTCTATTGAAGGCTAGAACATGAGTGCTGAAAGTCATAATATTCAACTAATGTAAGGCCAAAATAATACACCTGTAAGCCCTCCAGATGACAAATTGTAGAAGTTTCTATAGAAGGTTTCTTCGGAAAAATGAATAATGAAATATCTAATTGTAATACCTTACAGTTTGTGGTAGAATTTAATGTGGCAGAAGACAATTTTAGCAAATGAATGAAACTGGCAAGATATTCCTGGAAATAACTAAATGCAAAAGCAAGCAGAGGACAATGCTTAGTTCTAAACCTGAAACCTGCTTTTAATAGGCTCAGCTTCTCTTGTTGGGTTCAAAGACATACTTAACCAGTGATTCCTTGATAGATAGCAGATCGGGGAACTCTTTCTTCAGCTTAGATGCGTCCATCTCATTGTTGCTTCGAGGGGCAACTATCACCTTGGCTTGTTCTTCCAATGTGAAGTTCACCCACTGAAACTTGGGGTCAATGTAAGCCCTGTACATCTCCAGGATCTCGTTGTGGCTTACGACCCCGGGGTTCGTGAAGTTCCAGATACCCTTCAAGTTCCTTTTAGCCATCTCGATGGAAATGGGCAGAAGTTCATCCAAGACTGTCATGCTGTTAGGAATGTTGACCACCTTGTTGTAGCGTGCAATCTTGGTGATAAAGTTGCGAGGGTTGTTTAGGTCGGATGAGATCGGCATTCGAACTCTGAGGGTGCAGACATTGTCGTATTCTTTCAACAGCTCTTCAACCTAAAAAAATGGAGAATATTTATGTGATCTTAAGACATAAACCAGCGGACAAAATGAAACAGATTAAAGATGGACAACATGGTTACCATAGCCTTGGTCTTTGAATAGAAAGAACCAGTGAAATTGGGTTTGTCGTCCTCTTTATACCCAATGCCAGAGCCCTCAGGATGTTCTGCATCATACTCGAATATACATCCAGTAGCAAAATTCATCATCAAAAGTCCATGTTCCCTGCAAACATCTGCCAATGTCAAGGTTCCAGCCACATTGGTGCGAATTGTTTCGGTTTTGTGAGATTCACACCAATCAACATTGGGCCTACCAGTCACACCAGCAGCATTAAAAACATGGGTTGGCTTTATATTCTGAATATCTGCCATAAGTGATGAACGATCTTCCAAGCGCCCTCTTCCATATTCAAAGGGAATACCTTGTTTCTCACATAACTGACCAAGAAGTCCTCCAATCCAGCCAGTCCGGCCATAGATCAAGAACTTCAAGGCTGGTTTCTGGGGCGAGCTACTAGTTTTGAGGGTTGGAACCACCATCTGGGTCTGAGTAGAACCAGTTACATATAATGAATCCTTTTCCTGTTCACAATCAAAGTGTCTCCCACCGGGCATCATCAGCATTCTTGGGTGTGGAAGCAGTGCACCGGACACATCGCCCCACCAATCTGGATTCTGAGTATACCATTCTATTGTCTTCTTCAACCCATCTTCCCATACAGTTCGCTCAGACCAACCCAAGTTCTTCAGTTTCTGATCATCAAGAAAATACCTCTGGTCATTGAATGGTCTGTTTTCAACGAACTTGATGCTAGTGTCTGGATCCATTGAAAAAAGTTTGCATATATCTTTGGCTACATCAATCACTCTCCTCTCCCTCTTTGTTCCAATATTATAAACATGGCCAACTTCACCCTTGTGAAGAATAACTTCAAATGCTTCGGCCACATCCTCACAGTACAAGTAACTCCTCACATTAGAACCATCCCCGTGAATCGGAAGAGTCTTCCCCCTCATTGCTAAGAGGATAAGCTTCGGGATTAACTTTTCAGGGAACTGGTTGGGACCATAAACATTGTTTCCCCGGGTTGTAATCACGGGTAATCCATACGACCTACCATATGCCATGACAAGCATTTCAGCACCTGCTTTTGTTGCAGAGTATGGATTTGTTGGAAGAAGTTGGGAAGCCTCATGGTTTCCTACAACAGCATCCTCTTCTGTCTCCCCGTAAACCTCATCTGTGCTGACATGGATGAACCTCCTGATTTGGCCAGTGACTTTGCAAGCTTCAAGCAGGACATGAGTTCCGTAAATATTGTTCTTGGTAAACTCAAAGCTGTTCCCAAATGAGTTATCGACGTGAGTTTGGGCTGCAAAGTGCATAATTGTGTCAATAGACTCGGTGATGAGGAGGTAGTTGACAAGGTCAGCACTCCCGATATCCCCCTTCACAAACTTAAAGTTTGCAGACGACTTTGAGGGAAGGAGATTTTTCAGGTTGGAGCAGTAATCAAGCTTGTCAAGCACAACGATCTTGTAGTCTGGGTAGCTTGGTATGAGCCGATTAGCGACATGCGAGGCAATAAACCCGGCAGCCCCAGTTATGAGGATGTTCTTTGGGGTATAATTAGCCATTGCGGAACCAATTCTGCAAAAAAAATAAGAAAGGACAGGCTAACATCAGAAGTATGGAAAAATCAAATAAAAAACACCAGCAACTTGCACAAACAAATACATCAAAATGTAAACATGTAATCAAGGACCAAACCTAGTATAATCAATTAAAAATATAAAACGCAAACAAAGAAAAATAAATAAACAGTAAATTACCACCAGCCTGAGTTAACAAAATTTCATCTTCACAGAATATTCCACCAGATCTGACAGCAAAATAGGTGGATCAGGCGATTCAATGCAACCAAATCACGCTATCTTTGTTCTTTTTATTAGCTTTGGCTCATCAAATTAAACTTGAACACCAAACTATCTAAAGCTTCCATTTCACTTTTTTATCCTCGAGTCGATGTTTGCACTCGTAGCTACAAGCAAAGAAGGAAATGATCCGTAATTTCGTTAATTCAACAAGATCCACCTCAATTTCCAGATCAAATGTTAAAAAGAACAGATTCTTTAAATCTCATTTCATTCATATATTAGCAGGAAAGATATCCGGATACAATTAATAAGCAGATAAAGGCAGCCAAAGTAACAGCTAAAAGAGCAAACCAAGACATGGAATTTTCTCACATTTCTGAACAGATATTATAAAAATAAGAGATACCCAGATCCTAAAATGGCCTGGATCATTAAAAAAAACACTAAATTTCTCAAAAGAAATACAAACAATCATCGATCACATTCGATCTTCCACTAAATCACACTGAAAAACAAAAACAAGAGAGAGAGAGAGAGAGAGAGAGAGAGAGAGAGAGTTTGACTAACAATATCAGGAGAAATCAATCAAACTCCAAATGGAGAAAGACACGCAGAAATCTAGAGCAGGGTTTCAGAGGGGAAGAGGAACAGCTTTGAAGAAGAGGGAAATTGCAGAGACTCCGCGTATACGTATACGCTATATATAGCTCTAAATAACAGTTAAAAGACGAGCCATGAATATTTATTCTACATGCCGAAAGTACCCCCGTGAGTTAATACATTAACTGCTCTCATGCTTCTTGTGTGGACAATAAAGTAATAGTTGTGGAATGAAAAAAGTTAAGATTTTGAGAGCTGGCCAATACGATTTTGATGAAGATGGTGCTGTTAATTGTTGACTTAATTAGGAATTAATTCGTCAAATTAAATAATGCTTGAATTTGTTTATTTTAAATGGATCTGGACAAAGAATTTCCTCTTTTTTCAAATAAATTTAGATTTTTTTTTCATGTTTATGAAGATTTATTTCTTTAATTGGATTTTGGTCAACTTCCTGCTTGCAATGAATATTTTTTAATTGTAATTATTGCCTGATTTGAATAAGTTTTCCTAATTGTTTTTACTAATTAAGATTATTTTATTATGAAATAACTTTTTTTATATAGAAACTTTAGAGAATGACCTTGACATCTCTGTAATAAGCTTAGTTGTATGGTATAGGATTTTATTCAGTTATCAAAACTGTATTAGATCGATGTTTAAAAAAATGGTTAAAGTACATGAATAATTCCTTGATTATATACTGTTGATTTGTTGAGTCATTCGACTATTAAAAGTTATAAAATGATTTTCTGATTATAAGTTGTTTCTTTATTAAGTCTTTCGATTACTAAAAGTTACAAAATAGTCACCCAATTATTTATATGTTTCAAACTCGTCATTTTTTCATTAAAAATTGACTGTAGTATGAGTTGAACATTAACATGTTGACTGAGATATGATAGTCATTTGAAATTATGGGATCAGATTTTATCATATCTCAGTCAATATATTAAAGTCCAACTTAGACTACTGTCAATTTCTAACGAAAAATAACGAGTTAGAAATATATGAATAGTTTTGTAACCATTTTATAAATTTTAATAATGGGAGACTCAACAAAGCAAAGCATTGTCCTATAGTCGCAAGATCATTTTGTAACTTGAAATGGTCAAGAGACTTAATAATGCATAATTCTGTAATTAGAGGATTGTTTGTGTACTTTACCCAGAAAATTATTCAATCGATCCATTAAATTAAAAATGATGATTTAATTAATTTGAGTTCTTAAATAGAATTGAATATAA